TGCTCAACTAAACAGGCTCTCGCTGAAATGGTGCTTTTTTATTAGTTGTTGTTAGTTTTTTTTTCCTGTAAAACACTTTTACACCTTTAAAGGCACTATATCAAATAAAGTTTATTATTATATTTATTAAATGTATGTGTGAGTGTGTGTGCAGGTGTGCTCATGTTGGTCATTGAGAATTTCTGGGGTTCCTATGAGATGATGACTTGTAGGTGATACTTGGATGCTTTGGTTGGATTAGGGGTGGTACTTGGTCCAAAAAGTTTGAGAACCACTGTCCGAGCTGGACAGACAATGAATGACATTGACAACTTAAAATTTCTGTGGTGTCGTTAAAATGTATAAGGACAGACTGTCAGAATTCTCCTTGGAGCTCCATTCTCTAACCACTTTACCCAATACAGAGATGTGTATCACAGCAAGCATTGGGCACAAGGGAGAAAACACCCTGGACAGGACGACAGTCAACTGCAGACACAGTTGCACACACTCTCAGCTGGGCTGGTTTTCACAAAAGCCAGTTAACCCACCCGTATTCTTTTAGACTGTGCCATCTGTAACTGAAATCCAAATAAAAAGAATTTAAAGAAGCTTAGTCCCCAGTATAACACATAAATCCACATTGATTTACATCTAGAGAAACTAATTTAATTAAGACACGAAATGCTTTTCCAAAGGAAATTTTAAAGACTTAAAACTCTGTAGCTTAATTATATGACTGATACCGGATACCTACTGTTTTTTTTTTTGTATTTGTATAATTGGGCAATAGCTATACTATTAACAAGCTGTCTGAAAACCACAGCAGGAAGAAGACATTGGTTTGTTTCTTGTAATTACTAAGGCGTCACTGTCTAATGTCACATCATGATGGCTGGCTTCCTTTCAGTGAAAGAGGACAGTCTCCCTTTTTGTACCCTAAGGGACCGTCAGCATGATGTTGGCATGATGTGTACATAACTTGGTATTATTAACTGTAGAATAATTCTGTGGTATAGATAGTAAGTACTGTATATACTATCAGATGAACTGAGTATTATGTGTTCAATTCCCCTACAAACATTTACGTTTCAACAGAATTTATGTTTGATTAGCAGCGCTATCTGAGCTAATTAAAATAATACAACTGACAGGATACCACTACAAGGATAAAATGAAAGTAACAACATTAAATGATCACTTTATATTGTGAAGAGTGTATTTTATATCAGTAGCACTGGTAACAATAGGTAGACATTATAATGCCTAAAAACATTAATAAAAATAAATGGAATTTGTTTTGTTAGATGCTTTATATTAAGTACAGACTAATGTTTCCATGATTAAAAACATTTAAAAAATGTCAGAAAATTCAGACTATCAAGACATGTATAATAAAAAAACTCTCATAGAGCAAGTAAGCACAAATATAATTAGGTTTAGAAATATAAAAGGCTGTTTTCTTCCATAAAATGTCCTACTGTATCTTTCATTTCTGAGATAAAAATTAGAACTATTATCCACAGCTGTGTTTTTCTAAAAAATATATTTGTAAATGTTTCATGGAAAGGTTCATTAAGGCTCTTCGGTATCTTGAGTATCGCTATCTTGTATCTGCAGCCAGCTCAGGGGAGGATTCATGCTGTCTGATGTTTGTGTGCAAACTGCATTTCAGTATCTCCGAGGTTTCTCTGACTGGAGTACATCATGAATGCTGTAGACTTGCTCAAACTCATCCTTCATGCGCTGAATTGTTTCCTCTGGAACTCCGTAGTTGGTTTTACTGGGAAAGGAAGATACTTTAATAAAGCACTGCCTTCGACTTACGAATGAGGGAGCCGTCAGTTACATTTTACCTTTGCAATTTGTACACGTTGTTCTTCCAGCTGGTTTCAGGTTCTTTAAAATTGACATAATACCCAAACTCGAGAGCCTGTGATAAGAAGACAAAGAGCAGCGATTATTAAGTCATTAATAAGGCACATCTCTTATTTTTGTTAAAACACTGGACTGAAAATAAATTCTATGAAAGTCAATACTAATTTTAAATACATCCGTTCTTGAAGAGGATCAAATACAGCGCATTTTAAAAACATAATTGTTTCCAGTACACAGTGCAGGAATGATACCATTGAAAAATTCTGTAAATTACACAGTTCAAGTTAATAATGCACTGCTCAAACCCAAAAATTTTCTTACAGTTAAATCAGGTGTTCTTTCATACTCTTGTGACTCTTGCAGTGTTTGAAGAAGAGAGGATCTTGATTACAGATGTACTGTCAAAGGCACTGTTCACCTATAGAACCATGAAACACCCAAAATGGAGAAAATAGAGACAACCCAAACCCAAAATAGAGAAAACATTTCCACTGTCCATATCCCATTTGGACTTATGCAGAATTGTGATTTCAAACAGAAACTTTCCTGATGCAGTTTCCACAGCCTTGTAACCCAGCTGAACTTTTGGAAGTTATGAACCATCCATTACAATTCATGAATTTTCCTTACCTGACAATATTTCCTTTGTGCTTTTAGAACTCTACTGTGCACTAGAAATAGCTGAAGGATGTTCATTGTATTGTAATCTGGTCTAGACAGTTCTTCAATGTTTTATGTTGTTTATGTTGTTTTAAAATGTAGCCATTTCAGCACTTAATTCAGTGTTAGAATACAGCAATTGGGCAATTCATATACTGTCTTTCAAATCTTATCATTTGTAGACTTTCTTTTCTCCTGTTTATAATATTTCTGACGATGCTGATCAATACACATAATAATCAATACACATACCTGCACTTAGATGTACAGTACATTGAAAATAATACTTAAAACAAATAACTGCTCTTTGAATTGAACCATGAAACACTCTTCAAGCTGAAGGAAATCTCACCTATTCAAAATGTTTTGCCATCCTTAATTAATACCAGTAACATTTTTATGAAACACTTGAAAGATCATGGTTTCGTAGGCATCATAACATATATATCCTCTTTGGAAAGTTTAGGAAGGGACTTGACAATACCAGGCTGGAACTTTCCTTCTTTATGTATTTCTTTTTAAATATATATCTTTATTGTTTGGTAGTCTGGCTCACATTAGTGAAATTCACCAAAACATGGGGGCAGCCCATGAGGTGGAACCTATCGTCCTCTACTTCAGCTAACAACATGCATGAGCTGCATGATCTTGCAATCCAGCAATGCGAGCTGTTTAAGGAGCTTGACAAGCTTTCACTCAGGAAATTCAGTATAAGAAAGTCAGTCTGAGTCATGCTTATTCCCTGCACCTGGCACATAGCTCATCCTGTCTCATCTCTTCCACTCCCTAAGACGTTTCCCTTACCATGAAAAACTGCAATGATGTCCCCCCACAGTTTTTTTCAAGTAAACCCTTTCTTTCCACATACAGTAGGTTAAACTTTGACATTGTGCAGACTTTAACAGAAAACATACTACAAAAAGGTTATAGTTGAAGGGTCCCTAAAAATTAACTGAGACAAAAAATTCACAGATCTCACCAATTTTAAAATAATGTTCAAAATGTGTAGGTTTTAGCATGTTGTGAACTGGGCTTTAACGTGAATGTGCTCGCCACTGGATAGTTAAACTAAAAAAAAAACAACAAGAAACTCCCCAATAGAAAAAATTGTCTAAACTAAAGTGTCATCTCCTACCAGGGAAATGATTCACAGCCATTCATTTTTTGCTACTGTAGGTTGTTTTTTTCCAAGTGGAACAATGCATCCAATCAGACACTTATTCAGTCACAAAAGGCTGAACTTTGCATGTCATACTTTGTGCGGTTTGTTGCAAACTCAACCACTAAGCACAGAAAAGATGAGTCACCATTAATGCATTTTGTGTCCTCATCTTCATAGGAGCTAATAAAAAGTCTAAATCTTATAACATTTGGGGAGGAGCTCACTGAGTACTCACCTGGGTTTCTGTGACAGTTTTACCCAGCCTGATTATTAACAAATACCTAGGTCTAATGACGAGAAGTCACTAGATCACTTTCATAAAGATGTCAGTGTCGTGTGGTTCAGACGTGAAAAAAGTGTCAATTGCATTGGGTTTTGATTTGAATTGCAATACTGGTGTTTGCAGTAATATTGAAGATTTATAGTTTGCAACAGTTGCTTTTACAGCTTGGCATTTTGCACTGTCACTTTGGATTCGTATCTTAGTGCAGATAAATTATCTTGGTTACTGTACATAGTGAAGTCCACAGCTTTTTATAATTTCTTTGCATTCCCTGTAACCACAGGATATCTCTGTGTGATTTGTCAAGATGTACTATACTGTATGTTACTTAGGATAGCCTGAACACAAACTCCCCTGTCAGAGGACTATTTTTACACTTTTAATTTTTCATAATCCATTTTGATTGATTCTTAAACCATCAGTTCTCTGAATTTGTTTTTTTTAAGTTAGGCAAAATGTTTGAAATGCACCGATGCAGCAGCCACAATTAACAATCTGCAAGTTTGAAAAGCAGACTGAACACCCTGTTAGAGTTTTGCTATTCTTTTCCCCATCATTGGCATGGCAATGAGATAAATAATGAGTAAATATGCTAGAAAGGGACCTAGAGAACATAATTTGTGAACTAAACCGTGCAAGTATAAACATATCAGAATTTAACTTTTTTTTTTGCTGTTGGGAACAATACCTTTTAAAGATGAAAAGCAGTGCAGTTATTAAATTTAATTTGTATTTCACTAGAGACTTTAGTTTAATACTGATTGACCTGTACAACCAAATCAAGTTTCATGTTATTACTAATCATGTCTCCACGTACTGTATATAATAACTGAATTTTTTACATGATTTTTTTAAACTTCCTCCTTTGAAAAAAGGTGTATATGACAGGAAAATAATAATTCAACTGTTCTAGACTTTATTACAATTTAAAAATAATCTTCCTTACCATTTCAACATATGGCTTCATTTCCCAGAGGTGAATGTTGGTGTTATCGATGATAACAGGAGACTCTCCATTTTCCAAAGCTTCTCTTGCTTAAAGTTTTTAAAAACAAGTCAGGAAGATTATAAAAACATTTAATTATATACTATTAAATATGTAAAATAATTCAAATTTGTTTGACAAAATTGTGATTTTAAACATACCCCTTTTTTGATTCCACTTGTGGGCTGTTTTCAGTAAATAAGCCTTAAACTTATACTCTCCATTTCTATCTCTGAAAAAGTCATCGGTGCTGAATATGGACGCATTGCCATGAGTATTTTTTATTTGTCTTAAAAAGGAAAACAAGATGGAACAGCAAATATTACTGTACGATAAATCTTTACTGCGACACACTAAGTTAAACTGGACTTTCAAGTGTTTATTCTCCGTAATACTTGTACTTAAACGTTCTCTTTTCCACTCATAATGGCGACGAAATAAACTTTTTTAAATGGTTGGTAATAGCACCTCTTAAAGCAGTTTATTACACAGTGGTAACATTAATAGTTTAGTTTACATAACAAGAAAAATAAAGCGTATTTAATAATATGCTGAATTGAGAAACCTCCAAAATAACTTATTTTTAAAGACAACGGAAAACATCTTCATGTAACATTCTAAACAGAAACAAAATGGAAACAATGAGGCTAGAATTTCAAAAACACGGAAACAGCCAAAAAGCGCCTTAAAGCTTTAGCTCTAATTGAGATCTGTTATTCCAACTTTTTTTAAAAAGGGACATTTATTTCCTCTGATGGAATGAAAGAAAACAATCTAGGTTGCGTACTGAGTAAATCAGCTTTATGTAAAATACAATAGTCTGAATTATGGCCACCTGTCTTGTGACAAGAATGTTAACGCGGACTGGATCTCTCACAAAATGATCATGAACTCACTGCTGTTATAGCCACGGTTATGTTTCTTTATACGCGGTTACCTAGCAAGAGTTGACTTTCCCGATCCTGGCAAACCTCTCAAGATATACATCTGTGGTCGAGGACGTCGTCGACGGCGTCGTCTGCCATTCGACCCCAAATCGAGGTGGTCAAATGCACGAACAAAATCATCGCCCATTGCCACTCTGATCTATGGTTCATCGGATGTAATTCCTTGCAATTATATCCAGTACGTCTTAAGTTTCGTTTTCCTTGCTGTTACACATCAGATGCGTCAGAATGTATTTTCTGCATCATGTGACCTCTTTGGACAGTAGGATTCAGTACTGCGAAGATCGATCACATTGCAAGTGCTCGGGATGAATAAACCACTTTGCAAACATTAAAAGTCGGTTATCCAAAGGAGGTACTTATCTACATTTTAATGCCGAGCGAACCACGTGTGAAACCCAGCTGCAAAAAAACAAAGGATCTCGGTATAATGTCTTTATCAGAGACAAAATATGGACACCAGGGTTAATGAGCAAATCAGACAAGATTTCAGAAAATATCTGCACTGCACAAGAATAAACCGATCAACTACGCTATTGAACCGTTATGCTGTTTTCTCATCTTCTGTAGTGAATACTTTGTCCTGTTTACCGTCACGTTTGACAGGAACTTTTAATATCCTAATGCAACTAAATATTGAAGTCAAAGCCAGTAATTTAACATTTAGAAAACCACCACCACAAATAAGGGTAAGTTAATATAAATCACCCTCAAAAGCCTTTAAAATTACCTTCGGTGCTCCTGGAATTTCCACATCACTGCCTGTTATTTTCAGGAAACAACCAGCAGTTAATTAACCCTTATTTATGGTGGAAGTGTTCTAGACAGTTCAGCAGCTGAGATTGGAGTACAGGTGCATTCAAGTATATCAGGAGCTCAGCATAACACTAGCCTGCATCTGAGGGTGCAAGAAAAAAGCCATTACTCAAAAATCCATCTGGAGCACAAGATTTGGGAAAAGGTTTTGTGGATGAGACCGCGATAGAGCTGTTTGGCCAAAAGTCACTGCCCATGTCCCAGGAAACACAATGAAGTCCCAGTGAAGTGGTCGAAGCATCATGCTGTGATGATTCTTCTCATCAGCAGGGACTGGGAATCTCGTTAGAAGTGGAGAGAAATGCATGGAGTAAAGAACAGGCAAGGGGACTTGTTTCAGTGATGGACACCTACCCCAAAAGACTGCTTTTTAAAGCTGTTTTTGTGGCAAAGGTGGCCCTACCAAATACTGATGTGGCAGGTCTGAATACTTCCAAAATCAGCATTTTGGCAGTATTTTGAATGTAAGATATCTGCTGACAAATAACTAATTTTGTCTTTAGATATTTTCTGTTTGAGCATGAGAGTTTGCAATACAAAATCCAGCAGCATCTGAAAACGTTTCATATGAATACATTTGCGAGGCACTATATCTCAGTGACACTCACTCCTGATCCTGAAGAGTCACAGCCCATTGGGTTTTATACTGCAGGCAATTACAATGCTCATAAGATCAATTTATTCAAATATAGTCATTAAGAGCCCCTGGATGAATAAAGCCATGGGTGACAGTGATTCCCCGGAACAAGGAGTGTATATCAGTGCTAGTGTTCTTTTGACTTTTTTTTACAAAACTTTCAATGGAGACTAACTTCGTGTTATCCATGATAAATTGAAACATGTTTAAATGCACCTACTCACAAGCAAGGGAAAGCACACAAAACAAGGCAAGAGAACAAGGTTAGAAAAGCAGAACTCCCACAATTTGAGAAAAGGGGAAGCCTGATCACAGGTAACACAAAAGAAAAATAGCAATGGATTTGTGAGTCCTTCCAGACTCACAGAAGTGAGCCAAGACAGCAGCCAATGAGCATCGCCATGCCACACAAAACCTTGTCCCTGCAGAGGGAAATGGGTTGTGTGGTGCAACAGGAGAAGAAAAGTGAACAAGTATTTTCAGACACACAACATTTCAGTCATACATATAGTCACTTGGTAGGTGTGAATACACTTTGCTGTTCTGTATAGAAAATAGGAAACAGACCTGCGTGCTTGCAATGCCTTTATTTTCTCAGAAAAATTGCAATGCGTGGTAATACATGGCAGAGGAACAGCCATAACACAAGGTGAATCACAGAACATGTATCTGTCCAGCAACAATATGTAAACAGTCATGTTACGGTACAGCACTGCATTTTTAATTTGGCAATCTTCTTTTTTAAACTAATCCGTGCAATTCTCTCTTTGCTCCTTAGGTCTGATGCTAAAAAAATCATATATAAATAATTAAATGAAAATCAGCAAAACAATGGGGTGTCTGTGTAGATGGCTTGTTGTGTTCTAAAATGCTTTAATCTTTCAAAGGCTCTTGTCCGGAGTAACCCAGACAGAGCCAGTTTACTGAAAAATCAGACCAAGTCTTCTGAAGATTGTATGAAACAAAAAATCTCCAATACAAGAAACAAATAAAAGACAAGCGAGTCACTGTGATAAATAGTGTATTCCTTAATTTGTTATTTTACAGCGAACACTTCTTTAATATACACACACAATCTTTAAATATACTTGGTGCAACTCATAAGGCTTCTTGAAAAAAAATTATGCAAGGTGTAATTTGTTTGAAAGAACTGTGTGCAATAAAAGAAGAGTGTGCTATTATGCATTTATGCAGGTGCATTTACAACAAGTGATATACTGTGAGACACCCAAGCCATCACCCAGTGTAGTCAAGACTTTAGGAGCTTTTCCTGGAGTGCTCTTTAATCCTTTTGGGCTGAGCGCTCAGTTTGCTCCTCTCCTCAGATCCATCTTGAATCTCTTCACTGATGAGCCACTTTCATGCTCCTGAAAAAAGCACAAAGCCCAATACTTCCACCATTCACTGTGTGAACAATTCATGTGTCACCCCAACTCCCTTAAGAAGATGGTGATTAACAGTGGAGATTTATCCCTTATACTGCATGCAACTCATACAGTATATTCTAAAAGCTACAGGAAGAAACTCTTCTTTTATCCTATCCTGCCAAGAACAGGTTTTGATTTTTTTTTTGCTGAAAACATCTGCCTGCTCAGTGCTAAACGTCTTTGACCATTTTATCGATACTTTGGTTAGACATACACTGTACATGGGGAGGCCCTCCAAGAGCTCAGATGAGGTAGATTGTTTGGGAAGAGGGGTAAAAAATATTTTAATGTCAAGAACAGCATGATGGGAAGATTAAGGCAGGCATTTCAAAACTCCTAAAGAAGAGTAGATTCAGCAGCGAAAGGGGGACGTTTTTCCACAGCTGTGGACTTTAGTCAAACATCGCAGTATATGGTAAAAGTTCCAAATTCGACTCAAGTCGGGAAACAGCCAAAGGGTTAAAGTGGAGGACCACCCACCCTTGGCTGAGGTGAGGCCCGGGCCCAATGGCCCTGCTGGCCTCCCCTCTTGTAGGGCCTGTACATGGGAGCTCATTACGCAGTCATAGAAAATTGCTATTGAGACATTCACACATGCATGCTTTGTTCTTCTGCATCTTTGTTCCCTTGTTATATAGATTCATAGCTACAGTACATAGATTCTCATTCTAAATAGCTATTATGTGCTGTTTGCATAAATTAAACAGATAGCGAGGAAACCCTGAATGTGTATTTTACTATTCGAGTTTAAAAGATTAAAAGCAAAAAAGGCTAAAGAAGTACAGGCAAGTATACTGGAAGGTAATGAGCAGGATTTAAATGGGGAAAAAAATCAAAAATAAAAAAATACCTGTCTGGAAGTTGTCACTTTGTAACGGTATATTTCCGTCTTTCCTAAAACACAAACAACAGATAGGTAATTGAATACATTTTTTTTTCATATTTTGCTTATGATATGTGTCATCTTAAATCTCACTTTTCAAACAGTCAAACAGAAGGTGACATGTTTATTCAGCGTTTTGCTTTCAGAGTATGAATGGAATTTATTTTGACAATAGGTACTTTCTGACATGACTGTGTAATAATTCTGCTTAAACATGACATCTCCAGTTTACAGTCTGAAATGAAGAGTCCTTTTAAAATGTAGCCCTTTTCTTTAATCGACATTATATGTTCATTAATAATGACATACCTCTAATGTGTTCTTCCACTGTAAATGAATCATCTGTGACAATTTCCAATCCAAAGGCACAATATAATCTTCAGGCAGCAAGGAATCTGTATTTACATATACATAAGGTCCAATTATAGTTTGCAGAATGTATTTAGCAAAAGTATCTTCACTTGTGGAGTATTTATCCAGTATTATATTCTCACACATAAACTTAACCCAGATTAGTGTCGATTTGTGTTTTAAAAGGGGAATTCCACATCTTGAGAGAAATACCCATCATTTGAAATGGTATCACTTTTATAACTATTTTTTAATACTATTACTTTACTAACAATAACCCATACAAGTTGTTTCATCTATGGTTAGCTAGTTAATGCTTTATTCTGTGCTTTTGTGTAGTCCCAGGAAGAAAGCTTACATGAACATAGCTACAGGAGTAGGGGGAAAATGAAGTAAATAATATGATTTAGAAACAGGGGAAGAAATAAATGACACTTTTCCCTTATCCAGGTTCTGTTTACCAGTTGTTGTTGGAAGTCTTTAGATATTATGGGGATAACAGTTAGACTAGACATTTATCTAGATTAATAGGTATCTTGCATCTATTGCAATACAAAGTAAAACATTTCCTCTAGGTGAAATGGAAAGGGGGACCAACGTTTCTTCACAACACCAAGATGCAGAGGTCATATGATTATGCTGATTTCTGACAAACCACTGACAGGCTGCCCATAGTGAAGATGCTTAATCACAGCAGGCTTGTGATATCTGCACAGTGTGGTTTCACGCCAGTAAGAACAGAAAGCCTCAATTCACTGCCATCTCAAAACATTAAGTTGCTGCAAATTTGCTGACACTACCCAGTCCCATTTAATGCGATATTTAAAGGTTTTTATCAATGTGATTAATAAACTTTGAATTTTAAATTGGGAAAATCCAAAGATAAATTTACATATTTAACAGTTATCCTTGTATTCGAGAACTAGTTGGTTCAATGGCCCCTACAGAAGACAAACTGCAGAAGGCCGCAGACTTACCCAGCTCCACACCAATGGGTCCAAACAATTCCTCGAGCTGCAAAGCCAGCTCCAGTGACAAACAGATTCCTAGCAATCCTCCCGAGGTGGAGGCAGCTCTCTGGCGTTCACTGTGTCCAAATGTGTGGTGTTCAGAATCTCTTTCTGCTGTTCCAAAACACGGATCACCTGGGACTGCAGGTTCACACATCTCCTTAGAAGAAGATTCGAAAACTGAGGATAAAACGTCTGGCTCACCTGGAGCCAAGTCTGAAGATGAGTCCGTTTTTCTCATTCCCTCAGTGTCTCTGTAATCAAAGTGGATCTCATCATAAACGTTCTGAGAAGCTGCAGTCCCGTTCTCTTTGACCGACTGACAACGCTCTGTGCTTTCTGCAAGAGATCCTGCAGACTGCGCTGTGAAATCCTCTTCCCCATCTTTAACGCAGATGGTATCGTGGTTTTCACCTGCTGTTGGATGTACGTCTCGACAGATCTCACTCCCTCCTGTAAATCTGCTTCTCACCTGGAGGTTGGCTATAGGTATTTGCAATTGACGTTTTTGTTCCCCATCTTCAAAATGGGGATTTTCTTCTGCATCAATCACCCTGCAGATAGTGTTCCTCTCCTGTGCGAAATGAAACATTGGAGCAATATTGTAAGGCCGCCTGAATTTCTGTAGAGCTAAAGCTCTTGCATTGATCATCGTATTGCTTCTCCTTTGTTCTGACACCACTGTAGAATGATCATCTCCTTGTGAATGGCAAGGCTTCTCTTCCTGTACTTGTGTATGTGAGCATTCTTTTATGTGCAACTGAGCACAGTCATTGTTTGAGGATATGGCTTCCTGCAATGTATAATCTTCAGAGCTGTCTGGGTGTTTTTCAGAATGGACAACTCCTTTGGTCTTTGGGTGTGCAGAAGCATTTGTAGCCGATGAATCTTCATGACACATATCAGACAAAATAAATTGCTCCAGTTTTTTGGATTTTTTCAAAACTGCTACTCTATCTCTTTCATTTTGAATGCCAGTGCAACCACCGCAATGTTTCGTAAAAGGCACTTCCGCGGCAAAGCTGACCTTGACTTGTTCGGTATAAGAACCTGAACCTTTGGTTTCATTTTCTTCAAACGTTTTGAATTCTTTATCCTGATTCATGCTTGTTGAAGTCCATTTAAAATCGCTTATATGAACCGAATCATGATCTTCTGCCTTTGACTCTTCTATGACGGCATTATTCCCAGTAGAATTGCCACGTCTTTTGTCAGCTTCTTCTGAATTTTGTGCTACAGGTTTCCCAAAATAGCTGTACAGTTTTGCAAAGATTCGATCAAGCCTCCATGAAAAATATCGGTCTTTAGCATAGCTTTCCTCCGTGGCCATCTGTGCAGTGTTAGGATCATGACATACAGCACTGCTTTGTACTCCCTGGCTGTTAAAGTTTACATGGGGTACTTCACAAGACAGTTCTACAAGTGCGGCACCCCCTGAAGGTTCACCACAACTAGTAGCAAGTAACCCTTCTTCTTCAGAACTGGCAGAGGCTGAGCTGCTGTGGGTCCTTCTCCGTAGCCCCACTTCTGAGCCGGCAGCGATTTCCGATTTCCGCTGCCCTTTCCGTTTGGGATTTCTTCTTCTTCTCCTAGACCTCGGTTTTTGCACTCTATTCCTACAGACAAGAAGATAAGTGAACGTTAACCCCTCAGTCCTGAAATTAAAGCAGCCTGCACACGTCTGGACCAGATAACTTCTCTGCCAATAAGAAATTACAAATATAGCCCATGGATGGCAGATTTATGTGCCCAAAATCTCAATTTCTAGCTTGAGCAGATTGTTGATTGGAGGGTGGGTTCTATATGTATCCCCGCGGGATTCAGTTATTTTTTTTGAGGGGGAGGTAGTAAGAGTGTCCTAGAATTCCATCAGCAGCGGCAGCAGCTAATAACTTTACAGATCAAAGATTACATTTGTATGGTTATCTGTAGTCACATCTTTATAGCAAATAATGCAGCTTAATTCATGGACTACAAAGCCATGCCCACATCAAGGGTCTCCCACCCTGGCCTGAGAGACACCCAATCCAGCAGGTTTTATAGGTGACCATAAAACTCTCAACTTCTTAAGGCTTGGAACAATTTGTGATTAAGCAGATATTTAGAGAGAATTTAAAGTATCTGATACCAAAATCATAATACTCTTCAGTCCTAAAGGATCTATTCATCCAATTAAGGATGAGGTCTCTTAATTGAATAACTACTTGAGTGTTCCCCATCTTTTCAAATTAGTGATTAAAAGACTAACTGCAGTGGGATAATCCCTATGAACTTTTCTTATTTACATTAATAACAAACATCAGGTCTAATAACCCAGGTGAATCTTAAACTGTCTGCTAAAATGTTACCAACTTTAAGTCATTGACATTGTCAAAGTCACAATTGACATTCTTTTTCTACATGTTATTTCTACATTCCAGACATGTTAATGTAGATTAGTCTTTTTAAAAACCTTTCCATTGCATTCCTCCTATGAAAACAAAGGATATATATATATTTACCACAGTCATATCAACGACCTATTTCTAAACAAGATATAACATAAAAATCATGCAAAACATTTTAAAATAGGTTTTTGGTATTATTCGTACAAGCTGATGAAATTTTCAGACAGCATTCCTGTTTGTTCACACAAGCTGGTTACCACAGGAGACTTGGGAAGTTATCTCGCCCACTGGCATTATTAATTAAACAAAAAGTAAATGCAGTTAAACTGGTGTTTAAATAAAACAATTCATCCGACCAAGTGATGAAAGAAACTGTCAAAACCTGATAGGTGCATTCAAAGCCTAGATACTACCTACTCCTTCCACATACCAATTATTTCTGTGCAAGGTCTTATTCTTTGAACACTCTAAATGTTGTCCAGTAAATGCCCCTAAAGAGAGTGCAGAACAGTATTCTTGTCTTGTAAGCCCATCTCTATTACCACTGAGCTCCCTTACAAATAAGATGAATATACAAACCTTGGTAGCATGTAGGTAGCTGTATCAGGAGATATGTACTGCAGCTCCATGTCTTGCCGTGCAATAGAGTCTTATTAAACTGTGCTTTTGTCTTATTTATTCTTGTAATGTTGTGTAACATTTTGCAATACACAGTTATAAAAACAATACATTTTAAAGTTAGTATGTGAATCCATTCAAGTGTGGTCTGTTGTAAAAGTTCCTGTTGCAATAAATATTTACACAGGACATCCAGGAAACTTGTAATATTGTGAAAAACTAAACAAAATACAAATTGAAGAAATTGTTTTACCATTTTTACTTGGGGAAAAAATTAAAATAGGTTACAATGTAAAAGAGAGCAAATTACTGCAACTGAAGCCCTTAAAGAGCTTCTACTTAGAAGATCAAGTTGAAAATCTATAGTTCTTAACATTTGTGCTGTAAAACTCCTGTAAGGGAATTTACTCATATTTACTTCCTAAAAGTACTAATACGCTTTTAACAGTTACTACAATCTGGAAACATTGTAAATAAAAAAAAACTGAAAAACATTCAGAATGACTACAAAAGATTACAGAGCTCCTCTTGACAGCTAACATTTACAATTATAACACCCGTCAAGTTTGTGACACTAATATTCAGAAGTTCAAACAATAAATAAAATGTTTTGTAAAGCTACCACAGTAACAGTATTTTTAAATTGCAAATTTTTTCCTGAGAGAAATATGAACTAAATGTTTTTGATTAACATAAAAACCCAAATCAAAAAATACAAATTTGCGTTTCACTACTGCACTAGCAGACATCCACAGCTTAATTCCACCTACATCATAAAAATAAAAAAAATAATATCTAATCCCAAATACACACAAACTTAGAAACTTTAAGAATGAAGATTTGTTTTAAATTTACTATGAGTTGTAAGTGTTAAGGGAAAACAGGATATATACTTCAATTGAAATTTAAATCTTATTATTTGATGTTTAATTTTAAATTACATAAAACACAGAATGCCACGTACAAAAGAGATTTCCATTACACAATAAAATACTACTGGTTATGAATATTCTAAGTAGATTGTATCTGTTGATCTTCTTTGATTCTGAGGATTGTGCTTCTTTTTCAGTCTTCAACCCATTATAAACAGCTAGTATAGTACTCGAGTACAGATCACCTCCTATAGGATATTTATCTACATTTATCACCAACCCCAAGGACAAGGAAGTGTTGTGACACCCAGATACAAAACCTTCCATTACAGCTACAGAAAATACAAGAAAAGCAGTTTATTTTGACACCGAACAAAAATATCTGTTAGCAAAGTCAAGAAATAAGCATTCCTGGTTAAAAAAACACATTCCAACCAGAGTGAATATCCTAGTGGACATGACTCTGATTGTTTAATCCCTGTCAAACATTAGCGAGACTGAAAAAAACCTGAAAATTAAGTAAAAGAAATCTGCACTGCCATCAGAACACTCGTAATAAGTCAAAGTGTGAGCATCTGATCACACATCATGCCACCTGATTCAAGGCAGGGAGAATGTGGTCTATAACTGTAGATGTAGTATTAAATTTGACATACACCAGATTTATTTTAATTAGTCTTAGAACTGATTTGACAAACGATTTTAAGTTTGGCAAGTACCCAAAAGGTAAATATCACCATGCTTTCCTAGAAGTAGATTTTTTGTTATAAAGCAGGTACTAGAACAAAAACATGCAAAATGTTACAGGTAGTAAAGTGAATAATCAAGCTCCATATAAATATGACGGCACGGATTAAAATGCAAAGCCTGGTGGGACAGAGTCAACAAAACAGGACTGTGATCCCTAAGGTGACCTACTCTGCTGGAAAAGAATGAGGCATTCTCTCAGATGACTACTTTGATGTGGTCTGCTATTGGTTCTGCTCTTCAAATGAAAAAAAAAAACAACTTTGCAATATTCAAACTCGGGAATACAGTATGTGATTGAAGGAATCATGGAGGAGGTAAGTGGGTAAATTACACCTCCTCACAGAATGTTAATCTTTATTAATATTTCACACAGAAGAACAGTCCTTCTCCAAGGAGAGAGTAAGGAAACTTTTACTATTTACTAAACTCTTAATATTTTTAAAGTCGTAAACGAACACAAGTGTTAACAGCACAATAATGGTGGAATCCTTCAGAAGAACTATCTTTAGTGCCGTTTCAGTTCAAGATTTCCCAACTAAGTCGTCAGCAATGCTGAAATCAACTGATCACTAGACTGATTATTCTTAGTGGGGGGGAATAAAATACACATCAAAATGTTAAAAAAGTTCAAGCTGTAAAACTGATGTTCAAGTCTCCAGGACAACTACAGCTCATTTTTAAAACACCAACTACAGATTTATGCTGTTCCACATTTAAAGTGTCTTGAATTCTGCACTTAAACTGCAGTACTGTATGAATGTGTCCATTCTGCTCTGGAGATACTGTATTGCTGTACATATATACAAAAAGATAAATATCAAACCTTGCAGTAATATATACATATAAAACTTGAGCTTGACAAACCCTGAAATATTTTTCTGCAAATAAAACAATAGGAATATATCTTTTGTATCCACAGCAGAACGGGATCTACGACAAAAAATAGTGCAAATTTATATTGTTCTTCTAAAAAATTCTCTTTAGTATTAAGTCTAAGTACTGAAAATAAAAACAAATACTAACAGAGTGGTGTATTAAAATACTGGAAGTTCATAAAATTAAGATGTGTTTTAACCATCCAGATGTAAAAAACTTAAGATTTTCTTAAATTTCCATTACAAAATACATTTTCAAAAATATTTCTGCTTGTGTTAGGATTTTGAATACAGTATTACTTTAAAGGACATGTGTCCACTGTCTTTCATAGAGACATTTACAACTTTTTCTCCTATTTCTTGAATTCCACAGCTGCCCAAGACACTAGTACATATTTCAACACAGGACTGACAGACTATCAGGAAATTGCAGCAATGGAAGAAAACATGAAAAGGACACCTCCGTGAACAGACTCATATGAGTATTGCTTAGAAATGTCAAGATGTTTGGTTAAAATGGTTAAAATATAATCACAATTATGGATCTTCACCAGCGCAGAAGTGAAAATACTTTTTGGAGGGGGTATAGCAACAAAGAATAGAAAAGATCACCACGAAAATCCACTGGTTACTGAAAGATGGATCTCAGCTGTATGTGTTAGGCTGTATGTGTTTGTGCTCATGTGATAAGAAACACGTCAGGGCTCTCAGGGGTCTGCTGTGCCACCCCACCTCTGTCTGTGATGCGATGAGGTTTTATGAGTGGGCTCCTGCGAGTTCAGTACAATATCTACAGACACGGGCCGTTCGAATCGCTCCAGCATATGCGAAATCTTCTCTCCGGGCACTCCATGCTTGTTCCTCCTGCAGAGGAAGAAGAATGAAGTCAGACACTGTATGGAGTGCGCTGAATCCTCACCAGCCCATCACGCTACAATCCGTCAAGTCACTGGATATAGATAGATAGATAAGACTTTATTAATCCCGTAGGGAAATTGATGTGTTACAGCAGTCCAGCCCAGGACAAACAAAAACAGACATCAGAATAGTTATAAAACAAAAGACAACAAAATAAATATAAAAATAAATACACAGGTGTGTGCAAAATGTGATTATCATAGTCACTGTAAAAACAATAAAATAGGTGCAAAGTGTGCATAGGTTTATACAGACTGATTGTCCAAATCCATAGACAGCAAATGAAGGGCTAACAGTCCTAGCCTAGGGCAGCATTATACACCCTGACAGCCGCCGGGAGGAAAGACCTGCGGAAACGTTCCCTTGAACACCGTAGCTGGAGCAGTCTGTTGCCAAAAGTGCTCCGCTCACAAGTGATCTACCCTTCAAAAGCTCTTGGACAAAACACCACCAACCAAAATAAAATAAAACTTCAATAACTTCTTACTCTTTCTTAGAAATCAATTTCTGATTGAAGCAAAGAGTGTCTAAAGATCTGAATTCCTTCAAAACCTGAAATGAATGAGAATTTAAAGGCATGCTTTCAATTCATTGACAGCTGCATATTTTTCTGTGTGAGTTGAAAGATTGCATTTACTATTATGGACATTTATTCCTTCCATGGCTGTTGTAGCACTCAAATTAGTACATTAGTAATAAAATCCTCAAATGTGACCATCTGCAGTTGCAAAGGCAGATGAACAACTGAAACTAATTTCAATCTGAAAATAGGAAGTTCAATTAAGATTACAAGCTATCTTCAGAAAGGGGACCAACAATGGGTTGCATTGGGTAACATTACTTACTTTTCCAGCTCCAAAGGATCTGATTTCCAACTTGTATCTGGTTCCTGAAATTCTACTCTGTACCCTCTTTCCAATGCCTGCAAAAAGAAAGACTGTCAATCATCTAAAAGAGAGAAAAAATGATTCTGCAAGTCTGTCTTTGCTTACAGTGGTCTGATGTGTAAAATCTACCCAACACTTGCGAATACATTGACGAGGCTTGTCACAGCTTAAAAACACCTCGAGCAATAAGAAAAGCTTACCAGTTCCACATACGGCTTCATTTCCCAAGCTTGTAAGTTAGTATTATCTATTATTACAGGTGAACGGCCTTGATCCAGAGCTTCTCTAGCTGCAATGATACAAAATGATACATTTGGATTTAGCAGCCAGCACTTGCTCATATCTGCAAAAAGTGCTAGGGACATTTGAAGGTGAAGAGATTGTAAAATGTAAGATGTTTCTATTAATTTAAAAAAATAGCCGTAAATAAAATGAATGCCAGTTATTTCAGAAACATTTGATCCTTGTACTATGCAGACTTTATGTCACCACTAACTGTAAAACCTGTTTACAAACAGTTATGCAACACTGAGGCAAAGTCTCGGTCCACAGCATCAGCAGAAGATATGTGCTAGCTTGCGGTTTAAAAAGCACAGATTCTGGAGGTCACATATGCAAGGGCACAAATGCCATTGCTTTAGAAGACAAACTGACTGTGCAAACTTGGAAAGACTTCATAAAGCAGAAACCAGATGTTTATTCATGTCAAGTGCGATGCCTGCAGTTAGATCCTATACCTCTGTTGTGATTCCAGTCGTGGGCTTCCCCGAGTAAGGCAGAGTCATAAGTGTATCCCTTCTCCTTACTGAAATAGTCATCTGTGCTTAAAACAATCCCTTCAGGACCAGAAGACAGCAGCTCCCTGCAAAGTAGGAACACAATGTGTCAGGACTTAAAAAATGAATTGACGCCGATTAGAATCATTAATCTCTTACCCCAGTCTTCTTATGCTATAGTCTTGCAAACCCAACTTCAAGTACAAGTATGAAGCTTCTTTTAAAATATTATGATCAAGTGCTGCTAAACATGTCAACTGCAGTCCATTCCAGTGCAGTACCTTAGCGCAACCAGTGCCAGCAATTCCAAATGAAAGAGGTGGAGCTAACACATGATACAACAGAGTGGACGGGAAGAGCTGAATCAACAGTGAATCATGAATCGGTGGTTCCAAGTGAAACTACGAAGAGCTGTTTTTAAAATTGAACATTAGGCACTTCTTTATGCAAAGTTAAAGCCCTGGCTTGTTTCAAAAAGCAGTTGGAGAAGCATGTCTCAAAGGGCAAAGGGCCTCTTCTTCTGTGTAATTCTTTTAAGCCCACTGCAGAGGCATGAATCAAGACAGCACACAACCATCAACACACTGTTTGCAATATACATTAGCACGAACAATAAAAAGCCATTATCTGATAACTAGTTTCCCCAATGCTTGTCCATCTCTTTTAGTTACTTCTGGTAATTCAGAAATGAGGATCAATACAAACAATTTATCAAAAGCCCATCTCAATACCACTACGACACCTGGAACAATCCCGTTTCCTTTTCTTTTTTATCAGTGAGAAATATCACTCCCGCCCCACTCTCTCCAAGTACTCACTGTGCTCGTGTTGATTTCCCAGATCCAGGAAGGCCCCTCATCAGAATCAAAACGGGGGATGACTCGGAGTGCCCATCGTATTCCGGGCCTGGGTATCTTTCCTCCTGACGCTGGCCGGACTGGAAGCCATCAGAGGCTCCAGGTTCAGGAGGATGAGACCACGCTTCTTCTCCACAGTACGAGAAACCATTGCCATTGCTGCTGGGGTAGTTCCTGTACCCATGAGGACGGCAGGCACTACCAACGAACCTTTGGGAACCATCATAATAGACATCCTGGCCATCATAGCCAGAAGCCGAGGGGAACTCCCTACCCTCCCACTGCCAAGAGCCGTCATTCCGAGAATAGTCATAGTAGGAGTTCATAGGCGATGTATAACCTGGGGGATAGAAAGGCCCAGGAGGCTGAGGGGGGAAGTTTGGAGGGCCACAATAAGGCGACTTCTGAAATCTTGGATAAAGGGGGCCCTGAGGAACAATGAACAACGGGGCCTGTTCCCACTGAGGCTGGTGGTAAGGAGGCTCTGGGCTGTCCCAGCTGGGAAACCGACCAGGCCCATAATCATTAGGTCTGTATCTCTGGTCTTGCCACTGGTCCCGATATGGACGAGACCGACGGTGCGCGCTGGGTTTGTGGTTCTTGTGAGCGTTCGGCTGGCCATCTGCCCTGGGCCCTCTCTGGCGTTGCGGTCTTCTGGAGCTACCGTCGGAGGCGCGCACATCCTCACTGGTGCTGGAATCGCCAGGTTCAATCTGCTCCAGCTCTCGGTAGAACTCGCTCAGCTTGTCCTCAAAGTCCGTCTTCGGTGCATCATATTCACTTCGGCACTTGGGGCCAATAAAGGCAGTGCTACTCGTACCGCACTTGCCCGGGAGGGTAACGCGTCGAGCCGAGGCAGAGGTTTCACTGACAGGCCCTGACGCCTCCCCACCTACATTTTTAATAGCTGCCATGCCCCCTGTGAGCCCCTCAGGATCGTGCTCCTCCTTGATTTCACCCTCTGGGGAGCTGACATCTGTGCTGCCGCGGGCCCCACTGCCCTCTGTAACCCAGCTCGAAACCCCATCTTCTGCCTCCACGACCTCCTGCAACTCATCACCTTCAGTGGTCGAGGTGCCCAAAGCCTCATCCTCCTGGGATTCCTCGGTGGGAGAGAAATCGAGAAGCCCCTGGCTTAGACCCTCTACATCAAGATCGCGTCTGAGATTTTGCGCCTCCGGCTCGGGATCTGCATCTGCCGATTTAAGCTTTTTCAGGGAAGGCTCCTTCGGTTCTCTGTCATCATGCTCCGAAGGGGAAACACTGTCATCATTGTTAGGCATCTGGGGAGCAAGCAAGAGAAATCAGGAGCGGAAAAGGGCAAACCTGACAACCACAAAATAGTATCTTATCATTTCTCAATAACAGCAGTATACATCGATAAAAAACGATACCAAGCTTAAAAAGGCGCAGGCACTAAAAGTGCAATAAAAATAACAAACTGCAAGATAAATCATGTAGCTACAAATCTCCCCAGGTGCACTCCTAAATAAAATCTGAAGCAACGGACTGACTTGCAAAACGTTCTTGTTTGCAATCTACTAAAATGCACACCACAAGCAGGACAAGCAAGAGCCTTCTAAGCGGAGCACGTTTGTAATGTTTCAAGTAGGAACAAGTAAAGGTTTATTCCATGCTGAAATGAGAAGAAAGGAAACAACGTTTCGGCTGTGGCGCCTTCTTCGGGCGTCAAACCTTTAGAAGGCTCCACAGCCGAAACGCTGTTTCCTTCTCTTTTCAGCATGGAATAAACCCTTACTTGTTCCATATTTCGTTAATGCCTATCATCCAGCCTTTTGCGACGCCATCATGTAAAATACAACTCGTCCAGGTGCAATTCATCGTGTGAAGGTGACTTACAAGCGAAACAGTACAACCCGACTGAGCAGACACACATTTCAATCTATATGTACTGATGCAGTAATAAATGTGAACCATTAAACGCTTAGTCACAAAAATAAATGACTATTTCTGCTTGGGAATTTCAACCGGGCTAGAAAATGATGATGCGCGCTAAATTCTCCTAGAAAACGATCAAATATTTTTTAGCAATAAAGTTTAACCGTTGATAATTCGAGCTTTTTTTTCAGGGATAGAAACAAGACCAAGTTGTGGTGGATTTCAGAATAATTAGGCCAAAAATATACAAACAAAATACTTAAAACGACAGCAGTGGAGTTCATACACATGTCGTTATCTAACTTTTCAGTACTCTGCTCTCAACCGAGTCATTCAGCGCAACAGCCACCGCAGCGATTCCACATCGTCATCCTGTCTATCGATCATTTTTACTTTCCTATTCACCGTCAGACACTCAGACTTCAGATATTTCAGATATTTTAGTTTGACATATAAAGAGAAAAAACACAATAAACTGTCAACAGTTGCCGTATTACGAATTTTTGGCCTATCAAGACGTTACCTAAACGACTACCGCTCTTAGTAAGTTAAATAAACTCGCTATTTCACACGCAGTAAGCTTTTAAAGACTGCACGCTGGGTTAAATGTATTTTTTTTAATCCATACTTACCCTATATTACGATGAAAAAACGGGACCATTACCATTCCCACATTACTCAATCGTTTTACAAGGCTATATCACGCCGAGCAGCCATTTTCCATAACAGGAAATACCTCTACGTCACTGGCGAAGTGTACACTGGGAATTGTAGTTTGCAAAGGTTAATCAACAATAATTGACGTTAGCAACTGAGATTAACCTGGAAGTAGCTGAATGTCTTCCGCTGTATTGCGTTTTGTAGCATACTGATTATGCTATATTCACCGACTGCCACAAACGCGAAAATAAAACGTTCATTACTTGTAAAATTAAATTTTCAAATAAATCTGTTTTTATCTTGAACTAAATCTCAAGCAAAGATCTATTCCATATAAGATTAAGAAATTGCCATCCTATAAAGCAAGTATTTTTTTTTAATTGACTAAAAAAAGCGACAATTATACAAAAATAGACCTCATAATATAAATCCCACTGTATGGGCATATAATATTAACAAAACATAATTAGACTAACTTAAAAATAATTAAGCAGGGATTATACCTGGCGCAGGTTTATTTATTTGGGAATAAAAAACCAAAGAAGAACTTCACAGAACACATGACATTTAATGTGAAATAAACCAGAAACTATTCATGGAGCACAATACACACAGAACTGTGAAGTATGTGGATTAAAAGCAGCAGTGGCTTGACTGTCCTGCCCTCTTCTGTGGAGCCTCCTGCATGCTAGTGTCTTTTTGGCCTTATGTTGTTCCCACGGCCGCGTCCAAGTCCATTTTGAAGAAAAAAGGCGCCGCTCTTCGCTCCAGTCGCGTCGTACCCCTGGTCCAGTCTCTTTGGCTCCCCCAGCGCCTCATTCTCACAGGGCGTCTTTCCCTCCCCCCTCGCCCCTGGCGTCGTCCCCCGAGCCGGCGAGCAGGTCCTGGGTGTTGATCTGCGCCAGCTCCTCGTCCTTCACCCACTCGCCCCCCGCCTCCGGCGCCGGGCCCGGACTTCGGCACTCCTCTTTCCCCCTCGCCGCCGCCAGGGGGCTCGCGCACCTCCTCGGGGGCTGGAAGGTCTTGTTCACACAGGGGCTCCTCAGTGGGGCGAGCGGGGGAGGGGACGGGATTCGGGACAGATAGATTAGGCCCCTCTTCCTCTTCAAGCTTTTAGGGCCCTTGTCGTCCGAGCGGCCAGCGTGCAGGGGTGGTTTGCCACATGTGGGAGTCAGGTGCTCAAAAGCACAGAGTGACTGCTGTGGAGATCTTCCCGGGACCTGTGGAGAAGGTAAAAGTAGACTTAAAGGAACAAAACTACCAGCGAAACTACCAACTCTGGATTTTGATAATGTACTTTCCACTGAAAACTACTGAAGAGACAATGGTTGAGAAAATCCTGAAAAATTCAGTAAACATAATTGAATTCTTATTTGACATCAATTAAAAGGCCTTAATTAACTTTCTCTACCCATTTGAACTGTTTTGAACCTAATTAAGCTTTTGTTTTACTTAAATGAAACTAATCATCAGGGAACAAAAATTACTAACAAACTTGCAAAGAAAAGCCTTTACACAGGAGGGATTGGGTAAACTTTCGTCATCTTGTTTTCACTCTGAAATGGAGAAGACTGAATCGATACATATACGACCCTATAAACATCACTCAACTATCACATGAGAAAGCAGTGCTTACAAGATTGCTGCTCTCCCGTTGTACATCGGGCTTCATAATAGGCGTTTTGGGGATGGAACTGAGGTCTTTTAGCGACTGACATGGGAAGTCTTCTTTGATTAACTTGCTGAGCTTCTCTTCAGCGGCCTCAAAAAAGCATTCAATACCCTGTTTTAAAGGAAAGAATAAAGCAGCGATGGTGATTTTAGCAGTTAAAATCAGAAAAGCAGCACATTCAGTAGCTTCTAAGACATCCTTATCATGGTCTTGTGCACACCCTTAAAGTTACACAACACTAAAGAACTCCAGGATCCAGATGTCGCCAGCCAGCTACTGGTACTACTGGTATTCCTCAAGCAGAGGCACACAACTGGCAGAATGCTGTCAGGGTGGGGTTGGATTTGCTTGGACTATGTCATCTTATTTCTTAATACTGATTATTTGTTTTGCAGAGATTTTATTTGCAGGGATAAAAATAGTTACTTCTTAATATTAATGCTTATTTTGCTCATTCCCTCCATTGAAGCCTGTTACAGTTTTATGTTTAGGCATTCATTCATTGCTCTAGCTTCCCTCCCTCTCCAATGGTGTTTCTTCTTCCGTTTTTCAGGACTGAAACTAAGGCATCTGGCAGAACAAAGCAAGCATGATTAGCAATTCCAGCTTGCACGACAGCGATCCATGCCATAGACGTTTGGCTAGTTTTACCTGGGCCGCGCTCCTCAGCAGGGTGCAAGCCGCTTGCAGATGCGTTTCTTTAGGGTTTGCGGAGAAGACTGAAAGCTCTGCAGCATAGGCAGTGGGGACAGCTGCAGCTGGGCTGGGTCGCGCTTGCACGTTGCTCACTGCAAGCAGGGCGCGTGGCTGTACAATATCCTCCAATGCCAGCTGGCTCAGGCCGACCCAGCACTTCACCGCCACAAAATCCCGGTTCTCATTGACCAGGTACACCACTGGAGCACCACCTAAGCAGAAAGGCGGGGGAAAATAGTTTTCTGATGTTACTAAACCTGTCCTGCTTTGTTGACTGTGTTGTTAGAAAGTCCTGGTATCCAATTCTCTCAAAATATTCATATAAAAGTGTTTTAGCTTGTGATAGGTATATTATACCATCTGTTTCACTTCGCTGTTATGCCTGTGTCTCTTTTCTATTATTTAGTTTAACTCTCCAAACATAATGGGCTTGACCTATGCCAGTTCTCAACGACTAAAGACATGCAAGACATGAGAATGAGCTCCTCTTGTTTGTAAGCACTCAGACCACCCTGCCTGTTTGGACCTACCTTGCTTTCCTGTAATGGAGATGACATAACCCACCAAATCCACCTCTCCACAAACAGGCTGGAACCGCGGACTCAACAAGCTCCTGAAACTAACGGCCTCTCTGGATGCATACAGCTGACACAGCAATTCCGGGGGTACCTGAAAAAATTGATTTTTTTGCTTATTTCTCTGGCAACTGCGCAGTTTTATCCTTTCCTTCAGCATCTATTCTGGCAGGACACTTCAACACACCGGAGCGTGACAAACCTTTCATTTTCAAAGCTGGGAGATGACACTGGACAGGCGGAGGAAGGTTGGAGGGCAAAAAATGGAACTCTGCCCATTGCCCACCAGTTTGACAGGATGTAAACTGATTCAGTCTAGACAAAGTGCTTGACATTTGCAAGCACACTTACGATGTAACATATGATGATTCTAAAATACAAAAGAAAAGAAAAAAGGCTCAGCAGGTTTCCCTACCTGCAACTGCTCAAACTGTGTTTTCTTCATAGCTGTGAGCTGAACTGCTGCGTTGCCGATACGCCTCTTGGTCTCAGATGTTGCCAGCTGGTATATCTTGTACCTGCAGCCTTCTTTCAGCAGGGAACAGACTTCCGTAGACGGGCGCCAGATATTCAAAAAGTAAGCTGGAGAAATGGGCAGAAGAAACAATTATATTATTACAGACCCATGACTTGACACCCAAAACAAATTCAACAAAGCATTCAGTAGACATTGCAATCAACATACAAAAAGATACATATTCCTAAAAAGTGACGTTTTACATCATTTTGGCAATGATGGAAAAAAAAATGGGTCTTACCAGTGTTATTTTGCAGATTCTTACAGTCAACAACTAATAATTTCCACACAGGAGTGACATCTCTTTCAGGACAGCTGTTCTCCCTGTCCTGGGCTGACCGTATGGCTTTTTGAAACTCCTCCTGCAGTTTTGTCTGTTTTCTCTCATTCAGAGCCCGTCGGTAGTTGTTCAGTGTCATCAGCTGCTGCTCACTTAAACAAGCCTGTCAAACACAAGGAGCTAAGCCATCAGTTTGGTAATTTAAGAATGTTTTCCATTTGTTTTATTTAATCAGGACCCCAAGTACAATGTTTCTCCTCCTTCAAATGCAAAGCGCCTCAGACTACGATGTAAATGAACCACTAGACACACAGTAGGATAAGGGTTTAGAACACTGAGTATAAATTACACTAAAAGCTTAGAGATAAAGGCTGAGACTATGTTCATTACATATTGGGGCGGAGCAGTGGCTCTGTGGCTAAGGATCTGCGCCTGTGGCTGGAAGGTTGCTGGTTCAAATCCCGCAGCCAGCAGAGGAATCCTACTCCGTTGGGCTCCTGAGCAAGGCCCTTAACCCAAACTGCTCCAGGGGCGCTGTACAATGGCTGACCCTGCGCTCTGACCCCAGGCTCTCTCCCTGTCTGTCTGTGTGTCTCATGGAGAGCAAGCTGGGGTATGCGAAAAGATAATTCCTAATGCAAGAAATTGTAAAGGGTTAATAAAGTAATGTTGTTTGTTATATCCCCAATATGTTTCTACATATCTATATACAGTACTGTAGGTTGTAAAAGAACAAGTAAAAGTTTATTCCATGCTGAAAGGAGAAGAAGGCTCCACACCCGACACCCGAAGAAGGCTCCACAACTGAAACATTGCGTTTCCTTTCTTCTCTTTTCAGCATGGAATAAACCTTTACTTGTTCCTTTGCAGCCTACGGATGTTGACGAAGCTACCTACTTAAACTATATAGTTTGTATAGTTATACAACTGTTCAAATTAATTAAAAAAAGTGTTAATTTGCTTCCTTACATTTGCAAATTAAGGTTCAATTTAGAATCATTACCTCAAGGCATACTGGATCACTTTCAGTGGCCTCATAAAGCTCCTCGCCCTCCTGCAGTGCTTGGATCTCCTGATGACTAAACCTCTGCCTTCTGTTCCTGATTTCACTTGTTTCTGCTGCAGTGGAAGCAAAAAACCCCATAATTTTTTAACAATCCATAATTCTGTGCTCTCCTCACTCACATTTCAAGGATTTTGAATTATTTAAGTTTCACATTATACAGTCTGAGGCTCACTGCCCCTCGAAATAAATACACTAGCAAAATTGTTTAGCTAGCCTGGCAGCTACTTCTTTACTGATCTCAGTCACTCACCGTCTCTTTCCTAAAAAATAAATAAAGGTACACCTATGAAAAGCAGACAGAACAAAATGCGGACATGTGCTAATTAAAACAGGAAAAAAAAATGCACAATCCATTATTGTGGCTTGAAAACACTGGACGTAGGGGGAAAAGACTCCAGACCAATCATTCTACATCTCAGAGGGCTGCAGTCTCCAGTTTCTACGGATACCTTCTCATAATCTCAATGAGTAAAAACCTGGAAACTTTAACCAATTAAAATAATTACCCTTAACAATATAATTATAAATATCACAGAAATGGTTGTTTTCCAGGGCCTGGAATGAATATCAGTGCTTAAGACTTTTTTTTACCTTCTTGCTCCTTCTCAAATTCAGACTGAATCTTAGCAAATAAAGCTTCCATAGTTTTCTGCTTGTTTTCGTTGTGCCTTCGAGCCTCTCTTTCTTCAGCACGATCACCACGAAACACAAAGACTCCATCTGCCTTCTTTTCCATCCACTGTCAACAGGAAATAAAACTGTGAACACTGCTCTTCTAATTAACCTCTGGCTTTCCAGACAGTCATGGGGATCTGCCAGACTGCTATAGTAGTCCTGTTAGGGAGCTGACAAGGTTTGTACAAACACAGAGCAGTTGCAAGTCTGTGGAGAGGTTGCAAGCTTATCCCATTAAGAGATGTTTCCTTAACTTCATACAATAAAAACTCAACGGCTTAATTTAATCTTCATTTGTGAAGATACTGCTCTTAATTGCTTGGGCATCTTAAGAGAGAAAATAGTACTATAGGAACAAATTTCCTGAAAGGTATACATTTTAAAACCTACCTTCATTTAACTAACATACCTGTATCGGGTAAGTTCTGAGCACCACTACATCAACACATCCCACTCTACCGCCATTACTGAAGAGGGAGGACAGCGGGACATGGAAGGGACGGGGGTCTCGGTGAAAACCAAGCTTGGTATCCCAGCGGGCTAGTCTAGTGCTGTTGGCACAAATCTGAAATCAGGAGAGCACAGATGGTTAAATACAATGATTTAATCAAACACGCTGCTAGTTCCTTCTAATAAGGCTTTACAGAAGGAGGGAATAACATTTGCAAATCCATATCGCACTGACAACTAATTTAATCAAAACCTTCAATATTTTTACATAAAAGCCATTGTCTTGTTTGCATCTTTCAGGGATGCTAATTTTAACAATGATTCTGTGAGAGAGTTTGCAAAGTGTGTGTGTGGGGGGTGAATACGGTGAAAAGCTGAATAAAAACAATCATGTCCGCCCAGATAAAAACACAGAACTAAGAAACAATGCATTTTCTCTCTCAGGCCAAAACATTCTGTTGAGTGTCAAAATGCTCTTTAAACGTAGTTTCCCTGGCTCTCCTCTAGGACAACTTCTCTTGAACAACTATTTTACTAGGACAAGTGCTAACACACCTACAAGTGAAATACCTGCAAGCCTTGCTTTAACCTTGAATGGCTACAAATGTACCTAATAATGCTAGCAGGAAGATGTTGTCCTCACCCACTCACCTTCAGCATGAGGGCCTCAGGTGCCTCCAGGGGCGAGCAGGCGTCCTGACAGCCTATAAGATCAGCTCCATGAGTCACGATTTTGCCACCGACAGCGAGTCTTCCTTTCCGCAGAATGGCTGTGAGCGGGGCGTCTAGCAAGGCCTTAATGGCGTACCACCCATCGGTGACTTCAATGACCCCCACCGGCCCGTCTGTCTTGGCCTTGGCGTACGGCAGGGCTTTGTTTCCAGGCGTATCGTGCGCCTGGAGTGACCCCATCGAGACGATTCTGCAGACGCAGAGCACCAGGGTTTTCGCAGGTGTGTCATCCCTTTCCATGATCTTCCTGAGGGCCGACCTCTGGCTGTTATCAATTTCCAAGTCATACCTGACCAAAAAAAAAACACAGACGCACAAATCTCACAAATTAGTAAGGAATCCTCACACAAGTGTAGGATCTTTGCTGTAGTGTTTTTGCATACTTTCTATGGCAGTACTGCAGAAGCAATGACAAATGTTAAAATATGAATGAAAATTAAATGAAAAATTGACCAAAAATTGTACATCATCAAGGTAAATAAAGTGCATATCATTCTCCAATGCCAAATATAAATGACAACGAGAGAATGTTGGGTACTGTTTAACTACTTTCCACGCTCAAGATTCCAAACTTATTTTGCGTTACTTTAGAAAGAGACATAGTCAACATGCCTGTATTTCAGCTGAAGGAGAACCTGCTCAGGAGTTAGACATCGGCTTCCCATCTCCAGCGGAAAGGCTCTTTCCATGGCTGCCCTCTTCCACACGATCCACCGGTAGTGATTGTAAACCCAGCTCTCGCTGATCAGTTTGGGGTCCACGCCTGGCGTGTCGCACAAAGCCCTGAAAGACATCCCAGGCTTTAGGCCCACTTTTTAATGGCTCAAAATGGTAGACGACTTGTCAGAGGAACCAAAGACATGTTATCCGAAGAAAGAACATTTTTAAATGACTCTTCATGGTTTATCATTAGAAGAGCTCTCAAAGGTTACTGAAATTCAGGGAAGCAAGATGATGTAGCAATTCGAACCGTAGCCTCAGAGCAAGAGTCCTAGATTTGATACCAGCCTTCGGTATCTGTCTGTGTGGAGTCTGCATGTTCTCCCTTGGTCATGTGGGTTTTTTACCAAATGAAATAGTTACCTCCCTATATATATATATCCTTCCAGCACAGAGATTTTGACTAAACTTATTTGATTATTCTAAACTGTCCTTTGATCTGTGACCCTGCAATGAACTGGCATCTGAGCCAGTTGTGCTTCCACAGTCCTGCCTTCTGCTCAACATTTGTGAGACTTGCTGAGACTCTCACCAGTATATGGATTACCAGTAAAGAGATAAGGTGACACCTGGGAAGTGAGATAATATCATTTTTTGTTTTTGTATTTTTGCAAACTATGCAGTTTAGTGGCTTGAAGTTGGCTTTGTGCTCAAATATATAAAGATGCTGCCTGTCCTTGGTCACTAAGATAAAGGGCATGTATTTGGTAAGCTGGCTGTATGCCCAGAACACATGAAAAGAACTAACTGTTGTCTAGTCTGCAACTTAGATATAATTAATAACAATATTGTCATGTGTTGTTGTCTTATTTGTTTAGAATGTGTCATGTAACTTGGTTGCTTGGTATAAAAGACCATCTTTAGCTACTGTACTTATTTTTAAGTCCGGTGGTTGCAGGCCGGACATCCATTTGCATATGAAATAAAGAGACTTCTGCTTCACAGACACCTGAACTTTGTCAGTTGTATGTCACAACACCAGCAATGGAGTGATATTTATAAGTCCACTTTCACTGTTTTAGAGACAAAAAACTAGTTTTGCTTCGAACAAAAGAAACACAAATCTACAACTAGACCTGAACAGTCCACTGATCTCTACTTTGTGTTTGACTAGGAACTAAACCACATTATGACAGGCCTAATGGGCCTGACGGAGCCGTGCTGTATGTCACACCTCACTATTTTATACTATTTATATGTCAGCATGATCATGAATATTGTATCCGCATTTTAACTCCAACCATCTACCACTACCACGTGATATAAATAGGGCTTTACTTAAAAGGTGGTTTATTACTGGAAAGGAAAGGAGATTCTGTCTGTAGTACCTGTAAAACTCTTCTTTCCCTGCTGTGCCTTTGTTGTCAGGTATAAGGCAGCCTCCATCAGCAAGCTGCACCCCATTACCAGCCGAGAAGAACTCGATTCCAAAGTGATCTCTGCAGCTGAACCTGAACGACTCAGCGTTTTCACTGCTTATCTCCAACACACACCTATTGACCCCACACACGTACAACTGCAAAGGAAGACACATATGTAGAAAGAGTCTCATCTACGCGAGATTGACAAATTTACTTGAAAAAAGCAGATCCAAAAGAAAGGGACGGTTCTTATGCAGGGTTTGGAAGAAATAAAAAAGGACCATGTACATAGGAACAAATTAAAGAAAACACTTGGGAATGGTAAACGGGACCTAAAGGACTGAAAGGGAACTTCTATGCTCATTACTGGATATGTTCATATCAAGACCGCTCGAAGGTAGGAAATCCCTTATTTTTCCAACTTACCTTAAAACGGGCAGAAGGAAACATAGGTAAAATTTAATTTTACATTACAAAAATCTGTGATGTCCAAAAGGAAAGAGACCTGCAAATCCAGCTGTTTAACAGCAAGCAGGAGTCTGCCTAGGTGTGATGGAAGACAGGGAGATGTCGTGTACCTGCTGCTGTGTGTGCTGAGCGGGGCTCTTTCCTCCCACCGCAGCGCGGAGCGACACTCTGGACACCCCGGAGGTCTTCGTCAGGCACAGGCTCCCCGGAAGAGGCCTAATGGTTTGCCGCTTTTTTTTCCGAATCCTCATTTCTTGCATGCCTCGGGCGAAGTCCAGATTCTGAATCATTAGATGATCTGCCAAGACATGGAATAGCTCCTCATAATGATGTTTAACATTCGTCTTTTGGCTTCTCCATCACCACTGTTCAATTTCAATCAGAATGACTTTATTTATTTCAAAGACAAGCAGTGAATTTAGGACCAAATGCTGACAAAACCCAAGATCTGCATTTGGTTCTGCAGTAATGGTGAACACAGAGATTGTACACTAGGACAGCTGTTATTTTATGACAGCATATTCACAAGGCTGACAAATGAGCAGATCCCTCCACTATTTCTACAAGAACTCTTTGCTGTAAACCACAGTTATATGCATCTTACAAAATAACATCTGTCACCCAAAAATAAACAAATATTTATTCACATCTCTGTGGTTAGAATTTTGTCAATCTTCCTCTGGCAGGGATGGCAACAACTAGACACCTTATATGGTGAACTGAAAAATGTTTCTTGCTCAACAAATTCCAAACCTTATGTAGTTATCGCAATATCACTACATAGAGCAAAGTCCCATTGACATAACTTAAGTTCAGAAAACACAAAGAGTCACATTTATTCACACCTCTGTAGAATTTGGTAAAACCGCCAAAGATATTCAAACTAGACACCAGTTGTTTGCTGTGAGGTTCTGGCACTTCAGAGGGGAAGTTTATAAATATTATTTCATGTACAATTTCTCACTGTCCTTCAGACTGTTTGGTTTTCATTAAGGAACAGCATTGGAGTTAGAATCACAAATGGTCAGTCAGACTGAGGTCTGGAAATTCAGATGACTTGGGAGTGTGAAGGCTACCTGAACTACTGGCGTTGTGTTCTTCAGGGGAAGACACTGCTTGCCCGGAGCAGGGGCTCTCTGGCCTCCCAGAATCCACACTCCTCACACTGAGTATGGCTACTTCCTGTCTCCGGACACTATCGCTTGGGTGGGATAAGGGTGTGCTGCCGTCTCCTAACTCCCGGCTGGCTGCACTTTCGTTATGTCCAGAGTCTCTGGTAACAGCCTGCTCCGTTTCACAAGGAGGGACAGACGGACTGCACCCTTCGCCAGTCTCACGCAAGGGGGTGGATTTAGGGGCCGTCTGAACCAGCCTCTCCAGCTGCACTTCTTCCGCGTCTTTAAGGGAGCTCGGTGCCTTTTTAAAGGGAGGAACAAAAACACTGGGAGGTCTGCTTGGCTCAGGTGGCGCGCTGCCCTTCTGCGACCCGGAGCTCGAGCGCTTTTGAAATGGCGGCACAAAGATCCCGGTTTTGACCTTTGCTTCTCGGGATTCCAAGCCCGGGCGAGCTTTCTGCGGCTCTGCTCTCTTCAGCACCTGGGTGATGTCCCAAACTCTCTTTTTATCGCTAGAGCAAGGCATAGAACAGTAAAACAAGTTTAAAACTGCAGAACTCCTTGTGTTTTTCATTTTCTTAAATTTTCTGAAAAGTAAATGAGTGAAAAAAGCTATTAACACCAAGGTCTTCTATAAATTACTGGGGCAATTTACATTACACATTGTACTATAAGGCTTAAAAATTAGTATTGTGCCCTGAACTTTATATAGCCCGATTCTACTTTTAAGCTAAATAATAACAGTGGGTGCCACTGGACAGTTACGAGCCATATGCTCCAAATCTTACTAAAACTTACCCGAAGGGAAGAGAAATCATACTTTCTAGGGGGATGCTATATCTGCCCTGTCCTCGGTCTGTTAGAACACCTGCAACAAAATAATTAACAGCAATATGTTTATAACAAAAGAGGGAGTATGTCACATTGCCAAATCACATGCCATTGTCCTGAATTAACATGCAGGGAAAGCAGAAGTCCAAAATGTAAGGTATATAATTGTTTCCTTTGGACATTTTATTTAGCACGAAAGTTAAAACTATGCCTTTATCTGGAATAACTCAGACAGGTATTTATTCCGAGGAAGGCACTTTCATTATTTTTTTCTGCAAGATAAAATGCTTTTCACTCACAACAAAATCCAACTAATGTCCCAAACATATCCATCAGTCAAAAATTAAGACTGACAACTTGTTTCTTACTGCAGAAGAGAAACTGACAACTAGGAGAATATTTTTCCAGAAGGAAACTTTGTTTTGCAGATAGGCAAAGATACAACACATTTATTTAATATACATAATAAAATAAATAAATATAGACAAAATATACAGTCAATTGTCCAAATTGAGCAGGTTAGTAGTTGTGGGAATAAAAGATGGCTTAGTTCTATTGCTCTTAAATCTAGGAAGTCTAAATTTATGCCCAGATGGAAGGAGATCAAATTCTCTGTGCACAGGATTGGTGAAATACTACAGAGGTATGAATACTGTAAATGTGACTCTTGTGTTTTCTGAACTTAAATTATGTTAAATGGGACTTTGCTCTATGCAGTTCTATTATGATTACTACATCAGGCTTGGAATCTTTTGAGGAAGCAACTTTAATCACTCTATAAATCAGTGGTGCTCTATGAATATATTTGGTTGGCACAGTCTTAACAAAAAGTACTCTATTTATGCCAAACCATGATAGACATGTTGCTTCTGTAGTATTTTTGAAAAGGGCCTTGTTCACTATTAACTAAGTAGATACCATAATGGGCTCACAGATATTTCTAACTTCTATGTAGATACATGGATATTTATCTTAGTATTTAAAAATATATTAGATATATTAAAATATATATTAAAATATATTAGATATTATACCATCTGCAAAAATAAAAAGCAAGGTTATTTTTGGACAGCTGCTTACTGTTTGGGCAGGTTTTACAAGGCTTGAGCGCAGGGTGTTTGAAACGATCCAAGGTCCTGTCAAATTCTGCCAAGAGCTGCCTTTTAAGAGGAGGTTCCTCTGTGGAGAAAGGTCACCAAATAATACCTTAAAAAGGTTTTTTTCCTCCCAATAACAATAAGAAGTAAAATAGCCAAACTAAAGACTACATTGTCTTTTAGGTAATGTCTAACCTTTTAAATCAAGATCTTGGGGTCGAAGTCTTTTTCCACCTCTAAAGCCCTTTTCCAAAGAGTCTTGCGGGTCTGGAACACGAGGAAGACTATTCGTCTTCAGAGACTCCTGAAAGCTCTCCTCAGTGAGATCCTCATCTTCCAAAAAAGCCTTGGTAGATTCCATGGCCTCCTGCTCCAAGTACCTTTGCTGAGTGTCTGTGCAGTCCCCAAAGTTGTGAGAATTAAAGTTGAGGAGAGAAGCCCCTTCTTGAATGGTTTCTAACTTTCCTTTTCCACCCTCCAATACAAATGCAGCTGATGAGTCAGCCCTTGTAGAAGAGTCCAATTCTTTCGTGGATGTCTTTAAAGTGGTCGGCCCTGTAAGAGTTTTCCTATTCTTGTAAGATTCTGTACATTCTGAACTCGGCTCCTCCCTTTGTTTTCCATGTATGTCCTTCACACAGAGGGCTGGAGAGCTAGTATTGGGGTCATTGTTTTCATCTTCACTGTAGTTCTCAAGCTTTGCTTTGGCATTCTGAAGGGCCTTCTCACAAACGGAAACAGTCTTGCCGCTAGCAGTGCTGAAACCACAACTGACTTTTCCTAGATTATTCTGGACAATACTACTTTTTCGTCGCACAGTTTCTCCTTTAATTTCTGCACCGACATTGCTATCTGGAGTGTCATCATATTCTTTTAGCACAGTCTTAGCTTTTTGAAGACCTTTTTCAGACACAGGAATCCTTGCGCCACTAGCTGTACTGAAGCCACAGCTACTTTTCACTTGAAGATTCTCAGCAGAACTTGTAGCTTTTACATCAGAGTTTG